TCTCACCATCAGCAGCTCTCTTCTCACATCCTTCGTTCCCCGTCCCTCTTTCCCCCTACTCCTTCCTGTCCTCGTCTCCTCCTGGCGTAAGCTGTTCCTCCATCCCTCCTCCCTTCTCCTCTGCCTCTCCACCTTGACATTACTACTCCCCCTCCTCATCAGCTTAATATTACTCCTTCCCCTCAACTTCCTCCGCCTCCCTCCACGCCTATGCAACCCCATCCTTGTGGACCCCCCCCGCTATGGTGAAAATTCGCTCGCCCAGCGAAGGAGGCCAAGGCCACGCTCATGGGTACAAGGACTCACCGACAAGACGAGAGACACATTCGCGACCAGGAAAAAACGCAAAGAAAAAAGGCGAACGTTCTCGCCTCCGGCTTTCGCTCGACTCCGGCTTCCAACTTTCGCTCGACTCCCGCTCTCGCTCGCCTCCCGCTTTCGATCGCCTGCCGCTTCCGTTCGCCTCGCCCGCTTCCGCCGGGAACGAAAGCGGAAGGCCAGCAAAAAAGCGGGAGGCGAGCTAAAGCGGGAAGCGGGAGGCGACCGAGAGTGGGAGGCGAGCGTAAAAGCGGGAGGCGAGCACGGAAGTGGGAGGCGAGCACGAAAGCGGAAGGCAAGCGACAGCCGGAGGCGAGCAGCAGCGGGAGGCGAGAGACAGCAGGAGGCGAGCGAAAGCGGGAAACAATCGAGAGTGGGAGATGAGGGAAAACAGGAGGCGCACGAAACCGGGAGGCGAGCGAAAACAGGAGGCGAACGCAAACGGGAGGCGAACGAAAGCGGGAGGCGAACGCGAAAGTAGGAGGCGAGCGAAAGGGGGAGGCGAAACAAAAACTGGAAGCGAGCGACTACGGGATGCGAACAAAAACGAAAGTGAACGAAAGCGGGAGGCGAGGGAACAAAAACGAGAGGCGAACACGAACGCGGGAGGCAAGCAACAGCGGGAGACGAACACGACAATCGAGGACAGCGAGGAATGGAGGCGACAACGAAAGCGGGAGGTCCACAAAAGCGGAACGCGAGCGAAAGCGGGAGGCGAGCGAAAGCGGGAGAGGAACGACAACGGGAAGCAAGCAAAAGCGGGAGGCCAACGAAAACGGGAATCGAGCGCAAACGGGAGGCGAGCGGAAGCGGAAAGAGCAGAACCGGGATACGAACGAAAGCGGGAGGCGAACACGAAAAACGGAGGCGAGCGGATACGGGAGACAAGCCAAAGCGGAGGCGAGCGGAAACAGAAGGCGAGCGAAAGCGGGAGGCTAACACGAACTCGGGAGGCGAGCAAAAGCCGGGGACGAACACGAGAGCGGGAGGCGATTGAACGCGAGGGAGGCGAGCGAAAGCAGGAGGCCAGCGGAAGCGGAAGGCGAACGACCAAAGGAAGCGAGCGAAAGCGGGAGGCGAACACGAACGCGGGAGGCAAGCAACAGCGAGAGGCGAGCGAAAGCGGGAGGCTAGCGAAAAATGGGAGGCGACCAAGAGAGCGGGAGGCGATCGCCTCCCACTTTCGCGCCGCCCCACCCTTGCTGCAACTTAGTCTCGCCCTATCGCGAATTAGTCTCTCTCTTGTCGTGAATTCGTCTCTCTTGTAGTGAGACAGTGCTACCTTTGCCGCGCTCCACTCCTGGCGCCGGGCCAGGGGGGCGGTGTGGACGGGGGCAGAGGCGGCCGGCAGCCGTGAAGGAAGAAAAGGAGAGAGTCCTCGTCAACCTCCTCCCTTCGGTAGCAAATAGTGGGAACCGTGTGTGCCCTCGCAACTTCGTCTTTAAGGAGAGCGTTGGCGCACTGGCGTCGGTTGGCGTCCGGTAATCGATGAGATGGCGCCGACTTAGCGTCGATTGACGTCGACTTGCAGTTGCCACAGACCTTCCTCCCCACCTGAGGTCCTGGCGTAGGCCCCCATACTCTGGCAGCAGGGACCGACCGTCCCGACATTCCCATGGGCCTACCATGACGTGTTCTTAGAACCCAGAACTGCTCTTAGAACTAAAACAATGTTCTTAGAACATGAGCCCGAGGTGTGCAAACAAGACGGTCCCAGCCGGAAACGTTCTGAACACATTTCGTGCAAACCACCACAGAGGCTCTTAGAACATTCCTCGGGGGCCCTACAAGCAGGCCGGGACGCTTTGCCGCTGATCGCACTCTGGACCGGGGGCCCTCCTGGGTCGATCTGGCTCGAAGCATGCAGCTGAATGATGGGTCGCCGGGGCCCTGGTCGTGACGTTTCACGACGCTGCATTTCTGATCGCACGGTCGGATCTCTGGCAGGAGGGCCCAGACTCGAATCGGGAAATCGGATCGGCAATCGGAATGCATCCATCGCATCGGAGGAAGTCGGCAGCCGAGTAGGGAAACGTCATCGGCGAAGTCGGCAAACTAGTAGGCCTCCGTTGAGACATCGGAGCCCAAATCGGAAGCCGAAATCAAATCTAGCCGGAATCGGACGCCATCGAAATCGACCCGGATCGAATCGGAGGAATCGAAATGAGCCCTGCTCTGGGCCTGGGATCTGGGCGTTGCAATCTCTTGACCCTGCGCATTCTCAGCTGGCTTCGGGCCCCAAGACTATCGCAGGTCAATCTGGCTCGGAAACTGGCACAAAGAGATGGTCATGGGGCTCCGGAGAGGGTTTTCCGAAGCTGAATTGTTCCGCAATGTCAGATCTCAGGGTCCATCCTCCTCCTCCTTCTCCTCCTCCTCCTGCTCCTCCTCCGTCTTGATCGTCGGCGTCCTTCCCCTGCAAGGAAATTGATAGTACAGAGGGCGAGGGAGTGGGCGCACAATGCGCTTCGCGCGCTCAGGTTCTAGCAAGCCCAAGGCCGTACCAAGTTCACACATCCTCTGACTTCATTGCCCACAAATGGCTTGAACATGAAAGGCAACAAAACGTCTAACAACGCGGGCGTCAAACAACGCGGGCCAAACAGAAATGAATTACCGACACTAGCACACCCATGCCATGCAGTGTAAATCAGTGAGAAGCAGTGAAGAGAATGGAGTTTCCACACTGGTACTGCAATGCAACGCAGTGCCATGGACACTAGATGCGAGATCGATGCAGCGAGAAGCATTGCATGCAACAATTCGCAGAGCAAATGAAGGCAGGGCAATGTGATGCAGGACAAACAGTGCAAAGCAGAGCAATGCTCACCAGCGGGATGTGGTTTGCGGCGCTATGCCAGTGTACATAGTCGGGAATCGACCAAGTGAACAACGATGCAATTTAATGCGCGAAAATGCAAGAGATCGTACGAAACCGAGGGCTCCAGAACCTCTGACATCCAAGGGGTAAGGTGTCCTGAGTAAGTGGTGGATGCCCCTATCCCGCCGTCGGTAAGCCTCCATAGAAGCGCGCTTTTTTATGTTCGGCGATGACGGGCGTCATGGGGGGGAGGGGGGGGGACGAGGGGGGTGTATGACGTAACGACCCCCCTGCCGTGTGGCTCTGGCACCGCAGCCGCGCCCGCGCGGGCGACGCGACGAGCGACGAGCGACGAGGAGGAGGAGGAGGACGACGACGCGAACAGCATGTTGGTGGCGATCTTCCCCAACTGCGCCTGTGTAAGCCACAACGCTCGCGTGCACCAGAACAAGCGTGTATACCACAGCGCCTGCGTACCGCAACAACCGTGTGAAACGCAGCGCCTGTGTACACCAGTGCCTGCGTACACTACAGCGCCAGTGTACATGTGTACACCGCAGCTACCATGTGCAACGCAGCGCCTGTGTACACCACAGTGCTTGCGTGCACCGCAGCGCCCGTGCACGACACACCGCGTGTCTACACCACAGCATCCGCGTGCAACGCAGCGCGCGTGTACACCACAATGCCTGCTTGCATAGGACAGGTAGAAGGAGCATGTACGTGAGGATCTGCTGTGGACAACCAGACGCCACGCCAACAAAGTGTTGATAACCGAATGTGACGTTATTCCTCCCTCCTTCCTCCTCCACCTCCACCGCCTCTTCCTCCTCCTCCTCCTCCTCCTCCTCTTCCTCCTCCTCCTTTTCCGTTTCCTTACCCCCTGTCGTGCGGGTTGGCGCTACAACGCACGTGCGCATCTCAGCGCGCACCGCATAATGGTCGATTGAATCGGTCCAATTGGTTTTCGGACGGCCAATTTTGCGGGCGGACTCGGGAGGACTCGTAGATTCCAGATTATGTTATATTGTTGTCTGTGGAATCCACAAGCGTTCCATTTTGTCAGAAGGATTCGTTCTAACATTCTATATGCGACAGTGGTGCTCCATTGCACACGGTTGATTTGGTGCACACAGGCGCCGTGGTGCACACAGGCACTGCAATGCACGCAGGCATTGTGGTGTACATTGGTGTTGTGTTGCGCACGGCAGATGTGGTGTACGCAAGCGTTGTGATGTGCACAAGAGCTGCTGTGCCCGCAGGCACGGTGACACAAACTGACGTTATACGCGGTGTGGAGCATTCAGGCGCTATGGTGCACGCAGGCACTGCGGTATACACAGGCTCTGCGGTGCAAATCGCCACCTACATGCTGGCGCTACCCGTCCTCCGCCATTCCTAAGCACTCCCAAACACCGCCGGCGCGAAACGTGACGTCATCGACCCCCTTCACCCCCCCTAGATGATTGCCGTCATCGGTCTGGAATGAGAAACAAGCTTCAGCTGCGTGTGCGCGCGCGACGACTATGAGCGACGAGCGACAAGCCACGAACGACGACGACGACGACGATCGCGGAGCAGACTCCTGTGCAGATTCCTACGCGGACACCTGCGCGGATCCCAATGCGCACGGCGGCAGTGCCCGGAGCGCACTAGGGGGGAGAGCGTTACGTCGCGGGGGGGGGGGAGCGGGAGCCATGACGCCCGCCCTGCCTCAGACAATAAAGAAAACGGCTCATATGACGCTGGCACACCTCCTCCTCCTCCTCCTCCTCCTCCTCCTCCTCCTCCTCCTCCTCCTCCTCCTCCTCCTCCTACCTCTTACCTAACTTGGCGGCCAGTTCCTCTAACAGGGGCCGCTGTGAGTCCTTGGCCACTAAACAAAAACAGTGGGCCTCGGGGGTCTCAGATCGTCTGGCTGAGCCCATTCCTTCACGCCCACTGTTAACTTCTCAGTTCTCTTGCTCCAGTGAAAAAGCGAAACTTTTGGCACCTTTGGTGAAAGTCTCAGGCTTGCACTGCACTCCGAACTTCTGACAGAAGGTGGCGCCGTATCCCCCGCAGGCCCGACACCAGTAGACTCCCTTAGTAAAAGTCCAGACAACATGGCTTCTGTGCGCGCTGGCTTTGGTACCCGATCCACGGGCTAGCCAACCAGGATTGTCTCTCTCTCTCTCTCTCTTTCTCTCTCCTGGTTCTGGCTTCTTGAAACAAGCAAAACAGTGCAAACGGCCTCGGGCGTCTTTCCTTACCGAATGACAAGATTCCTCGATCTTCTGCCGAGCCGCCCCCCGCCCCACCACCGCGCGAGCCCTGGCCTCCAGCGCGCGGTTTTTGGCGGGAGGACGCCCCATAGAGAAACGGGGCCTGCTTGGTGACCGCGAGGGCCACCGCCAGCGGGTGCTCGTGCACATTGCTCGACTTGAGATCGATGGCCACGACGGCAGCTGTCCTGGGGCGGTCAGTGGGCCTGACGGGCGCCCTCCTCTGCTGCTAGGTCCGCCAGACGGTTGGCGCACCAAACATGCGGGGCCACGTGGTTCGCCTGAGCCTCTTCTGGCGAGAGGTGGCTCTTGATTTTGTGGGCCGCGAAGGGCCGCTCCCCAATCTCCGCCCACAAACTCTGCCACAAAACCTGCTTCGTGCTGTGCCATCCGCGCGGGCCAGCACGAATGCCATCTACTATAGACTGGGTGTCAACGACCAGCACTGAATCTCCTCCAGTAGCTTTAGCTGCCTCGATGGCTGCTGTCAGCTCTGCAATCGGAACTGACTGCTTCCAGTACTCCAAAGGACATTGCCGCCACCCAAGCACGTCCCACCCGCCCAGCACCACGAGTCCCCACCCACATCTGCCGAGCCTGGAGTCTTCGTGAAACTTGCCTCCTGAACCGTCAGTGGCAACGATCATTGCACTAGTGAGACGAATTTTGGCGGCGTGGGCCAGGGCTCCTCCTGTGACCTTGGTGCCCTGGGTTGGTCTAGTGGCGTGAGGCAGCGCCCAAAGAATTGGCGCAATGCCCCTAAGCCAAAAGCAAGCCCGCTCCTCCTGACCCTCGCGGGCCTCCTCCAAGAGCTCCAAGTGGCGCACACGGACGAGGAGGCGCACCTGCGTCTGCTCAGGACGGAGCCGGAGCTCGAGCGGGCGCTGGGCAGCGCTGCTGCTGATGCGCTCGCGAGCGCGACGGCGGCGGCCTGCTGGCGGCTGGGGCTCGTGGGGGCTGCGCCGTACACCGACGTCGTCGGCTGTGAGGCCCGCATTGCCCGCATGCGTGCCTGCGGGTCCCTCGGGCTCGCAGCTGGGGCGGGCCAGCTGCGTGGCATTCGTTGTTTGGGGCCACGTCGGCCCATCCGCTCTGCTGCCGCCGTGGCGTGCGCCTCCTCGTCGCACGAGCTGCAGCAGTGTGGGTCTGAACGATGGGAGGGTCTGCACTCGTTGCCTGTGCGTGGTCGGCCAGAGCCAGCTGCCCTGTTTCGCGGCCGCCTCGTGCGTGTTCAGGCCCCCAGCGAAGGCGAGGGGCTGACGGCCGAGGCGCGTGGCGGTGCGCCCGTGCCCGTGGCCACCAGTGAGCTGCAGAAAGGAGGGGAAGAAGCCCTGGACACCCACCTCTCTCACGTCTTGCATGCTGTCCACATGTAATGCATCACCGTCTGTGCTCGGCGCGGATTCTATACCTCGATCGCGAATGGCGGCGATGCCCGCTTCCTTCGGCGTCCGCACCGGGGTGAAAATCGTGGTGGCAATGAGAATCTCACTCGAACTCGGAGGGGATTGCATCCTCGGCGGGAAGGTCCGCCTCGAGGCACCCTCCGTGTTCAGGAAGCCCTCCCAGCAGCTGCCGCACACAGCGAGCAGGCGACGGAGGCCGCTGTGGAAGCTCTCGAACGGAGCCCGGGCCTGCACCATTCCCCAGGAGGGCCGCGCAGCAAGAGCGGGGAGAGCGAGGGCCACGCTGGGGCCTCGGTGTCTGCGTGGTGGTCGTTTCTCCCGTCTGAGGTGCGTGATCCAATTGAGCCTCTGGTTTTCCTCAACGTTCCTAAACGTTCCTCCTCCTCCTCCTGCTCCTCTTCCTCCTCTCTCATCACTCTAATGGCTCCCTTCTCAATCCATCCATCCATCCATCCATCCTACCTCCCACGGTCCTACTCGCCGTCGGGGAACAGGCTGGATATGGACTCGATGTCTTCTTTACTCAGCGCCAGGTCTGCGGAGGCCCCTCGTATTCCTCCACAACTCCTCCTCCTGCTTCGTCAATTGTCCACCCTCTGCCGCCGTTCCCATCACTCCTCCATCCCCTCCCGTATCCATGCTCACGTTCGTTCTCCGTGGTCCTTCACTTCTCAATCTTGCCCAAAATTACTCCTCACGCTTCCCTCGTGTCCACTCCCTCCTTGCTCCCTGCCCCTCTTCCCTCCTTCTCCTCCCTCTCCTCTCTTCCTCCTCCTTCCTCCTCCTCCTTCCTCCTTCTCCTCCTCCTTCTCCTCCTCCTCCCCAGTGCTTCCCTCCTTCCCCCATCAACCCCAGCTGGCAGAAGGTGCGACGAAGGCTGCAGAGCAGCATCCCGACAACTGTTGAGAAATCCAGAGAAAGTCCGTCCAGCTTCGGCCGCGAGCCACTACTCTCGAAGCATGGAGCGTGCCCGCAACCGAGCGCGGGATGGGGTAGGCACCGCAGGCGAGGACGCAGCGGCCGCTTCAGCCACAGCGGCGGGAGCGCAAAGCGTTGCAATGCAACCCCACTGAGTACCCTCGGGGTGTCGGACCCACACCCCTAGCACAGGAACCCCCAAGCTTCACCCACTCCTCCTCCTCCTCCTCCTCCTCCTCCTCCTCCTCCTCACTCGTCCTCCTCCTCCTCCTTCCCCTCCTCACTCGTCCTCCTCCTCCTCCTCCGCCTCCGCCTCCTCCTCCTCCTCCTCCTCCTCCTCCTCCTCCTCCTCCTCACTCGTCCTCCTCCTCCTCCTCTGACTCGTCCTCCTCCTACTCCTCCTCCTCCTTCTCCTCCGTGTCCCGCGCCCCTCTCCTGCTGCCAGATCGGCGTTGGCATAGGGGGGGTAAGGGGGCTGGCAGAGGAACTGGCGCCTGCAAACTGTGTGGCCGTGTCGCTGACGGCAAACTCGTATCGAGGCCGGGCAAGCCCCGACGGGGACGAGATGGTCTCAGACCACACGAACAAAATTCAGGCGCTTCGCCGATCCGAAACGTCCGAACCACAAAATGGGTCCAACTAGGATCCGTGAGCGTGCGGTCCTTGTTGCTGTGGCGCTGCCACTGTCCCTTGTCAATGAAAGCGCGCTACCACTCTGCCCAGGAGTGCTGAGCCGGAGCCTGTTCGATTACAATGTGATGGCGAAGATCCTGGGCCTCCAGTCGACCGCGGCGAAGGCGAAACACAACGGTAAGAGAGAGTAATGTATCATCCTTCCCCCTCCCGCCATCACCATCCCTCCACACTCCGCCTCATCCCTTCCTGAATCCACCTTACCTGTTCACCTTCTCGTCCTAGTGTCGCACATCCTCGCCATGCTGTAGCTGACAGTAGTGTGGCTCTCGCAAATGTGGCTCTCGCCATCGCGCCGCGCACATTTTCGAGAATTGCAAGGAGTTTCACGGATTGAGGGCGGGTGGTTTTCAAAATGTGACTCTCGCCTTGCTGCCGCGCACATTCGTTTTCACTAATTATGTCAGTGTCACGATTGAGGGCGAGTCATGTTCAAAATGTGGCTCTCGCCTTGGCGCCGCGCACATTCGTGTTTGAACACCTACAAGAGCTTCACGGATTGAGGGCTGGTCGTTTGCAATATGTGGCTCTCGCCATCGCGCCGCGACCATTCGATAGAAGCAGTTGTAAGATTTGCACGGATAGAGGGCGGGTTGCTTTCAAGATGTGGTTCTCGCTTTAGCGCCGCGCACATTCGCTTTAAGCATTGCAGGCCGTTCGTTGTTTTAAACATCGCTCTCGCCTTAGCACCGCAATTATTCGTTTTAAGCAGTTGCAAGAGTGTCATTGCGTCGAATGGTGACCATACCAGAAATTGCGTTGGAACAGGCTTGTTAGGGTGCAACAGTTATCTTGATCGGCGGTGCTGAAGTCCCATAATTTGGTGTTCTGGCATGACGCAGGAGGGCCGAGTCAGGTGAACTCGTGGGGTTGAAGTCTTGAGAATGGTGTTCTGGCGCGCTTCAAGATGTTCACACGTATGTCCCCCAACGGGGCACTTCCCTCAGTGGCATTGACCCCTTGTCGGGGGAGACGGGGATTTGGGAGCGAAAGTGTATATCAACATCGCTGCTGACCCGTAGCGTCAGAAAACGCGGAGTTTCCAACCTCTCCTGCTCCTACTCCTCCTCCTCCTCCTCCTCCTCCGTCCGTCCTCCGTCCGTCCTCCGTCCGTCCTCAATCCGTCCTCCGTCCATCCGTCCTCCTCCTCCTCCTCCTCCTCCTCTCTTCAGGCTCCTCCTCCTCCTCCTCCTCCTCCTCCTCCTCCTCTCTTCGGGCTCCTCCTCCTCTTCCTCCTCCTACCGTTCGGCACCTCGCGCCCTGGCCTCCCCCTCGCCCGTGCTGGGCGGCGAGGGAACGGCCCGCGACAAGGGCCAGCAGGAGGGGAGGGTCTGGCCCTGCCCTCTTTTCGGCGGCCAGCGGGGGAAGTGAGGACTTCGAGGCTCGAATATTTCGAGGTTCGAAGGCTCGAACTTCGAGGTTCGAACCTTCGAGGTTCGAGGCGGCATGTCCTCTTCAGCGGCGTCTGTGGGCCGTCGTCTGGCCCTTGGGCCCCCGAAGCTCGATCCAGGGTGAGAAAAACCGCGTCGGATGGACCCGGGGAGGGGTCCAAGAAACGATTTTGACCGATATTCGGCCGCGCGCCCAGGTAAAACGACACGACGATCGGGACAAAATCGGATCGGGATAACTCGAGATCTCTGAGAGTCGGCGGGTTTGGAGGATGTATCGGGCGCCGCGGCCGCTCCAGAGCGTTCCGGAACGCTCTGAGAGCGCTCCGGAACGCTCTGGAGCGATTTATCCCGATCCTAGCCCTGTTTTACCAGGGGGGGGAGTGAGACGGAGAAGGCCTTTTCAGACGGCGGCGGGACTTCTGAGAAACCCTCGCGCCTGCCGAGGAGTGGTTCTGCGTCTCCGGGGAGGGCGCAGAAAACTTCTCAGAGGCCGCGGGACGTCCGGGCCTTCTGAAGAGGCCTCTTCCTTCTCACTGCCCCCCTCGCTCGCCGCCAGTCCTTGGGTCCTGGCCACCCTTCCACCCAGGACGGCCAGGCTGGGATGGGCACCGAAGGAGAGGGGAGGGATGCCAATCCAGAGTTCGCAACAACAAGGGGGGATGGGGGCCGCAACCCTCCCAGACGAAAACTGTTAGACCCCCCCAGGACCAGCTAGGAACGAGCGGCCTTTTGCCCAGACCCCGTCGAAGCCTCGAAGACAACTCAGTTCAGACGGTCTCCCCATCCCAGAATGTGACACCCCCCAGATGGGGTCGAACCCGATTTGGGAGGCCTCTACTTGTCCTTTCCTTCCCCTCCTCCCCTCCCCTGCTGCTGCTACCCCCTGAAGAAGGAGGGCGGGCTGTGCTGCATCCTGGCCACCCCGCAGCCGGAGCGGCGGGGCGCACCGAGGAGGAGGGGAGGGGCGCCATCCTCTGGAGAAGCTGGACGAGGACACGGAGGCACCTCGAGGCAGTCCAGGCTCGACGCAGGCACCGCGTTGGGACAAAGGAGACGGCGGGCGGTTGCGACTGGAGGAGCGGAGATGGGAGAGGTGAGGGCAAAAATGGCTGTCACGTCAGAAGAGACACGTCGATCCATTTCTCCCAAGTCCGCGACTCGCGCTGCGCGATGTCGGGGTCTCTTCGTGGCGAACGCGGTACGGTGGATCTCAACCCACAGCGGGGGGCCTGGCGGATGGGCAACCCAAGCCCTGGGAATACTCCCTGGGACAAGACAGTTCCAGGTTCAGGGGTTGTGATAAACACGATTCTTGGCAGGTGGCAGCCAATTGCCAGAAACCGCAGAATGGAAGGAGTGTCGAATTAGTGGTAGGAGTAGTAGTAATAGTTGTTGTTGTAATGGTAGTGGTAACCGTAGAGGTAAAGTAGTAGTCGTGGTCGTGATCATGGTCGTAGTAGTAGTAGTCGTAGTAGTAGTAGTAGTAGTAGTAGTAGTAGTAGTAGTGGTAGTAGTAGTAGTAGTCGTAGTCGTAGTCGTAGTCGTAGTCGTAGTCGTAGTAGTAGTAGTAGTAGCAGTAGTAGTAGTAGTAGTTGTAGTCGTAGTCGTAGTCGTAGTAGTAGTAGTAGTAGTAGTATTAGTAATAGTAGTGATAATAATTGTAGTAGTAGTAGTAGTAGTAGTAGTAGTAGCAGCAGCAGCAGCAGCAGCAGTAGTAGTAGTAGTAGTAGTAGTAGTAGTAGTAGTAGTAGTAGTAGTAGTAGTTGTAGTCGTAGTAGTAGTAGCAGCGGTGATAATACTTATCGTAGCTGTGGTCGTAGCCGTAGTAGTAATAGTCGTAGTCGTCGTAGTCGTCATCACCGTCGTAATAATAGTGGTAGTAGTTGTAGTAGTAGCAAGAGTAAAGGTAGTAGTATGTGTAGTGCTAGAAAAAAAATAGTATTAGTAGTAGTAGTAAGTGTACTAGTAATTGTAACAGTAATAGTCGTAGTACTAGTCGTAGTAGTAGTCGTAGTAGTAGTAGTACTACTACTACTAGTAGTAGGCGGTGATGGTAGAAGTAGTAGTAGTCGTCATCGTCGTACTGGTAATTGTACTTGTTGTAGTAGTACTAGTAGTAGTAGTCGTCGTCGCCGCCATCGTAGTCGTACTTGGAGTCGTAGTAGCAGCGGTAGCACTAGTGGCAGTAGCATTCGTAGTAGTGATGGTATTCGTCGTAGGAATAGAAATCGGACTAGCCGTTGTCGTAGTAGTAGTAGCGCTAATAACAATAGTAGTAGCAGCAGTAGTAATAGTAGTAGTAATCGTAATAGTAGTGGTAATAGTAGTAGTAGTAGTAGTAGTAGTAGTAGTAGTAGTAGTAGTAGTAAGTCGTACTAGTCGTCGCCGAAGTAATAGTAATACTCATATTAGTAACAGCAGTAGCTGTAGTAGTAGTAGTAGTAGTAGTAGTAGTAGTAGTAGTAGTACAGTGGTAGTGGCAATCGTAGTGGTTACAATCGTAGTACTAGTAGTAGTAAAAGTAACAGTA